GTTTCGAAGTTCCATTCGACCACGTGAGTTCCGATTAACTACATATCGATGTTGGTTGATGATGTTCAAAGCTTCGTCAAGCAATTCGATATCGGCAATAGCTTTTGCTTGATTTCGAGCGCCAATGAGTATCACATGATGCGTTTTTGTAAATACCGTGATGAACTCTGTGAATCCGACTAGAAAGAGCCATGCAGCCTTTTGTCGATCCTCGTTTGATATCGCTAGTCGAAAGATGTTAAGCGTTTGAAGCATACGGAGGAGAAACTGTACCGCACCGAGATCGAAATCTAGTGAAGCCAGGATTCCACGTCGGTTTTGAGCTAGAGTTTTTCGTGCATGTCGTTCCGCTTGGATGTATCGTCTGAGTAGTTGTTTACGAGCAAAGCGAGGCATAGGTGGAGGTGATGTGAACTAGGGAGTGAAGTACTGGAACTGGATGTGAATTAGGAGATGAGTTGGGTAGATGAGCTTGTGCGGTGAGAGGACCGGTCGGGACCAAAAGAAAATGAAATCGAAGTTGAGGTGAGGTAGGGTGAGGTGAAGAATTGGGTAATCGGGGATTCAAAGTAGAGAAAAACTGAGAACGTTCTCCCAGTTTCCCAGTTTCACAATTACAGCCAAAATCGAAAACTGGGAAACTGGGAAAAAACGGGAAAAAACTCCCAGTTTCTACTTTGTATCCCCTATATATAAAGAAAAATATATATGTACAACTTTAAATACCGTAATTATGCAGCTGTGTTTCAATACAATGATTCAGAATATATTTTTGGATTACATATTTCTATACTAACTTGAAGATGACTGAGAACTAATATTTTGTGCTCAATACTATGGTTGCTTTGAGAACATATGGGCCCTCAGAGTTTGGACCGTAGTGTAGACTATACATCTGTAAGTTCTTTTCTGGTTTCTTGTTTACTTTTTTGAAACCAATTGTACCTCCTTGGTGTATGGACACCTCTGGCTACTCCCATTCCCCCTAGTCAACACTGAGTACCAACTTCCAAGTACTACATATCATCATACTGTTGAGCATAACAAAGAGCTTGCGCGCCAACAAAGATCTTTTTATTTGAACCAATTATAACCAATATCACTGTAGACCGGTCAAGAGATATGAGCTATTAGTTCAACTCTTGATGATGTCAAGACAGAGTGCTTGGAATTAGGTTGACTTACTAAACAATGGTTTGATCGGTATTGAGAATGCAACCTGGCAAGGCTGTGTACCACACGAGAGAATTTTCCCAATTACTTTCAGGCAATGTCATCTGGAAGAAGTTCAAAGAAACTCACTTTTCAAAGGCCCAACATAGGGACCTATTTCACATTTATAAGCTGCAGTGAGTTTCACTTTATCTTTGACTATCTGAACCTCAGCACAATCTAGAGATGAATCATGATCAATCTTCAGTCTTTGGTACCTTGCTGTGATGTATCAAATCGACAAAACACACCAATATAATATTTGCCCTGTGGCCCAGGTTCCTTTTGTGCTATTGCTGCATCACAATCCTTCTTTACAGGTGCTGCATTTGTAACTCCCTTTTTTAAGTTTTTGGGGTCCGCGTAAGGGACACAGCCGGTCATCGGGAGTCGGGGGTGTTGTTTAGCGGGTGAACAAGTGTATGCTTTGCCACCACTGTTCTGACAAGCTAACCAATTCGAGACTCAATATGTCAGATCTGTCTGTTTGGAAAGAAGAATCAAATGATCTCAAGAAAATGGACTTGAAGATGATGACTTACCAAATTTCCCATCTTTAGTCGGCCCATAGAACCTTCTGCAATTTTGATAGCTAGGTAGAGGCGCAACGCAAATCCCTAATCCAAGAAGAGTACTGCATACAATTAGAAGCTGCCCGAGATACATTGTAGTAGTAGTACTACATTGCGTGGTAAATTTTTGGTTGCCTGATTGGTTGAAGTGTATTGTTGTTGGAGAATGTAAAGGGTTGGTTTAGATCTCACGTATAAACCCTTAAGTGAGAGTTAGAAAGCTTTGAGTTTTTAAAAGTTCAGATTATCGAGAAGATTTTTTGGAGTAAGTATTCACTTGTATGAAAAGTATTTTAAATCTTTTGAGAAGGATGAGATTGATAGACAACGGAATAAAGTGGGCAAAGATCAATGAATTCAGCTCGTATTTATATCAAAGCTTCAATTTCTTTTTTAGATCAACACCAGCTTTGATCAAAGTGATGTTCTTCTTTGTTACCGCAACCGCTTCGAGATCGAACGCATTGCTAGTAAGACCGATTTGCATGTCAAGCCAACAAACACTTTTTGCGAGACGGTGAATTCACCTAGACTGTCGGGGTGCGAGTGACCGGCATAGAATTTTTATGGTAAGTTCAAGGAGGCGCCAGTCTACCGATCTCAAAATTTCAAGCAGAGACGTCGGATTGTGTTGAGTTACCATATCACCGGAGTGTTTGGTCGGATTGGTGAAACTGTGGTATAAAAGCATATTTGAATTTTAACCTGGGTTGATGTCTGGACTCTGGCCAAGATCTTTTTGACTCGTCGTGACCTTTTTGAATCTTTTCCCTGGCTTGTTGCTATTCAGCCTTTCAAACTAGTGACTCCAACATCTGAAGCAATCATTATCCGCTGTACAAAGCGGTCGCGGGCAACTGCGGGCGAGTTCTGTAGCGGCCGCTACAAGTGAGCCGGTGGATGTACAAGCAGTCCAAGGCGACACGCCACCGCTCGGCGCTACCTCTCCAAGTCTTGTTTACACCCCGTAGCACTTGCCCAATATCGGCATACAGCGGGTTGAACAGGTTTTGCCAGATGTTTGATCTGAAGACTTGTTCTTTGACCCTGCAAGTTCCACCATCGCCACTACCTCAGACCAGAGCAAGAAAGGCTTCCAAACCCTTTGGTATGTGAGTCCAACTCCACCTTTAAGTTTTGTGTGTCAAACTTTTTGAAAAGCATTTGGTATCGATCGAAACTGACACAAGCAAGCCAGTTTTGGTGTTCCATACATTCATATAATCAGTCATTTAGGACTTTATTTGTCTTTATATGAGGTGATTAATTCTATTCCACTGAACACTTTTTTGCCCTTGCATGGATCTCAACTGAGATTTCTGTAGGGAACTCATGAATATCATCAATAGCTTGTACAGCATACCCAAATCGTTCTTCTCCATTACGTTATAAATCATGATTGATACATAGATTCGACTGATTCGACAACACACCATGGTCATTTTGACAGACATAATTGGTCGCTGAGTCTGCCGGTCACGAAGAAAGATGTACATATGAGACAGAAGAGACAGCACTATGGGAGTGCCTGCACTGCTTTCGGAGATTTCAAAGTCCTTTTTCGGATGAGCAATTGTATCGAGGTGATGATTATCCTGAGGATGAAATTAATGATTTTTGGGATATCAAATTGGTTGATTTGACATGTTCCAGAAATCAGGATTCCAGTCCGATCACATTAATACTTACGAACTCGAATGAGATCATTTGTTTTTCGTAGTGTCCTTTCTTGTCTTTTCCTTTTCAAATGATTCAAAAAATCGAGCAGCTGTCAGAATTCTTGAAGTTCTTTTTGGGTGGTTCTATATCAAATCCAACAACAGCTCATGATCAGAACTTCTGTGTCAAGCCTGATGATGAGGTCTACCGTCTGGCAATCGAAGCAATTCGACTATAAGATGAGCATCAGAGGCAACCTCTTTCATCCCTCATCCGCTCTTCATCACTGGCCTTTTGCCTATCCTTTTCATCTAGTAAATACCTGCCTTTCCTTTTCTCAATAATCCCTCACGATATAGACCTAATTTTATTTCTTTTGATTGTAGTAATTTTTCCGATCCCTTCATCCTACACTCATTATTCCTAAATCCACAAAGATGCATATCTCCTTCGCTTACCTTGGCTTTGTGCTTGCTGGTGAGTTCCTTGGTTATCGTCCGCACTCTCTTTCGAGCAAAACTGAGGTCTTGTTCTGTTTGAATTGTTCTTAGCCTCCGCTGCTGCCAGTCCGCGTCATTTGTAAGCGATTGCATTCGGATTCCGTTTCATGAGTCGATGCTGACTTTGTCTATCTTCAGGGCGCGAACCGAGACAGTTGCTCGGTTGAGCGTTCGTAGTGAAGAACAGGCCGGCGGCGAGTGAGTCTGAATTTTTCTAGCTTTGTAGAGCGATGTCACTGACTATCACTTATACTTTCGTAGCGATCATGTCAAGATGAAGTGCTTTGGTGGCTGTGGTGGAGGTCTTCCTGTTCCAGGGCCCACTTCATGCTGGAATGCTCCCGTCGTCTTCCACGGCGGCGGTGGTTTACCACCCATGAACACCTTCTTTTCCACCGTTCAAAGCTACACTGTCATCACATCCAACACCGTCAACATCTGGAACGGTGGCCTAGACCCTCAATCCATCTTACTTCAGTTCCAAATCATGGTCACCAGTCTTTCAACTCTGTTCTCCACTTTACAAGGCGGTTGTTCCTTCCAAGGAAACCCTCAAGTCGTACGTCTTTCCTCTATTTCGGTTTCGAGAGCTCAGCTGTTTGCTAACCCATCTTGTCTCTAGTTCATCTCCACTTTTTCCCCGCTGATCATTCAAATCCAAAGCATGCTCACGATCATCAACACTCAATGTGTTGGTATTATCGGTTCCTTCCAATGTCAGTACCTGTTCTCCTCCTTGAACCATATAAGCTAAGGTCGGGTTCTGAATTACTGACTATTTCTACTACATTTAGCCTCGTTTGCCGTTCTATCTGTCTTAATCCAATCGATCGTCGGTGTTGCAATCACCTTCCATGTCGAGGTTCAACAATTCTTCTCCGCCTGCAACTTCAACCCTCAGCTCTGGTCACCTCTCGGTTTCCCAGTCGATAGCTGGATCCACGGAGTTCCAGGTGTATTCCCCGGAGTTCCAGGTGGATTTGGTCCAGGTGGTTTCCCAGGTGTTCCAGGTGGTTTCCCAGGTGGTGTGCCAGGTGGTTTCCCAGGTGGTGTGCCAGTTCCAGTACCTGGAGGTGTGCCAGTTCCAGTACCTGGAGGTGTACCAGTTCCAGTACCTGGAGGTCCCAATGGCTGTTTCCGATCACTTGGTCTCCTCAGCACCTTACTCCACGTCCTCATCGTCATCCTTGAACCTCTTTTCATAGGCCTTGGTGCGCTCTTGAAAGGTGTTGGTCTCCTCGTCACAAACCTCGGTGTAGCCGTGGGCGGTCTTCTTGATGGTGGCCTTCTTGGTGGTGGTCTCCTTGGTTCGATCTAGAGTCTGAATATTTTGTCCAGATCGTAGTCTGTTTCCCGTTCCTTGGTTTGAATCATCTTTCTGGTATTCCTACCTCTCGTGGCCTACTTCTTGTTCACTTTTTCCTTCTTGTCGGTATACAACTTAAGGCTAAGCCGCCCTTTTAGCTTGTTCATTGCGGACCTTTCATGCAGTAGCTTAAATGGCAAAACGGCAATTTATGTTTTTGTTCATCTTGTTTTTATCATAATAATGAGAATGCAAATGAGAAGATTGGGAGAGGCATAAAAAGCCGCATTCATACATTTTTATTCTTCACTTACACTTTCATGAGTTGAGAGAGTGTTTATTCGAGTACAGTTTAATTATCATCATCTATGTCTTTCGCTATATAAATTTCAATCAAGTTTGATCGAGATAAAAATAACCAAAATGTGTTTTCGATTCAAGGTCCGGTGATGAGCTTTCGAATGACAAAAATGAATCACACACTTTGAAAAATCCAAAACTAAATTCTCAAAACGATCCATACGTATTCCCCCAAATCTTCTATTTGAAAGTAGAAAAGTAGAACTTCGTTTCTTTTTTTTTTTTGGAAATTTCAATCCAAGTTTAAAATCTTACGAATTAGATTAATGAAATGAGATTATTGATATCAAACCAATTTTCGATCAGATCCTTTCTGTTGTAAATTTGGCCATTTTGAAAAGTTTTCCCAAGGATTAAGTTGAGTGGTGATGAAAGATTCACATAAAACCGACTTTTTTTTTATCATTTAATAAAACTTTTTGTATCGTATCTCGACTCTCGAGGCGTAAATTTGTTGAGCATCAGAGCCTAACCTATAAGAGATCATTTCCCTAAGATATTCACAAATGATGATTAGCTTTTCCTGGAACTACATACATACCCACTTGGATTCAGCACTGATCTGAACACCATGAGTCAATGGAGCCAATCAAGGGTATATCAAAACCTTCAATCCAACCAACCAACCAAACCACGCTAAGAGATTGATTTTCTTTACAAAACTTATCATCTAACGAACAAATCGTTATCCGAAACACAAACCCAAACCAAATTAAGAACTTGAGAATTTTACTAGAGTCAAAGGTCTTTGAACTTATCACTTATGAAATCGAATCAAATGATCGGATAAACAACTCGATAGTTTTAAAAACACTCGATGGCATTAGTCTTGCAAAAAGAAAGAGCGGTAAAAGAGTGGTGAAAGTCTATAGAGTACATGACCAAATCACAAGAATGTAATGAATAACAGATCATGGACATCTTAAGTACATATAAGGTGAAATCAGTGAAATCCCGATGGAAAAAGATGAGAAGTCAGTTGTAATGTACAGTCATTTAAGAAGAGCTTGCCCCAAATTCCCCGCCAATTCGCTTGAGTTTTGCGGGCAATTTGGGGCAAGCTTTTCTTAAATGACTGTACGAAAAAAAAAACGCCCGAGGCGTTGAGAAGCGAGATCGGGTCTTGTGTATTTCCGAGATTTCTGGATACATTAGATTGGAATGGATAAGATCGCTTGTATTTCTTTTAGCTGCTCTTGGAGAATACGATAGTCTATATGGGTACAAAAGCTCTTTCTTGGGTTTCTTTCCAATCGGTTGATCGAGTTTGATTTCCGTTTGTTTTGTTTTGTTTTTTTAAAGTCTTCAAACTTCGATCTCCGAGATCGAACTCATGAACTCTCTCAGATCGCCAGTTCGATATAATGTATTGCACTCAACTCGAACTCAGAAAGAACTATGAGGGATTGAATGAATGAAGTTCTTCTTGAGATTTCTTTGAGATTCTTATTGCCAAGTGAAGTGAATTGATTGGTGGCTGGCTCAGCCTGATGGTTGTGATGGGCCATGAGCTTGTTGTTGGTGATTGAAATGATTTTACCGGTAGAAGAACCAACTGAAATCTATCAAGAAAACTTAAATGTACTTCTTGGTCATTCATCTCAGACTGATTTCCATTCCATCCCATCTTGAAAAGGTAAACAGGTCAACAGGAACCCATCCCATCTCATCCACTCACCATTCTCAACCAATTCAACTTCAAATCAGTAAACAGTCAATGATGAATTCCAAGAAATCAGATTCCAATTCATTAGCATTCCAATCAGATTATCAAAAGAAACTCAACAAACTCACTTCAATCCAATCATCACTCTTACCATTCTTCAAATCAAGAATTAGATTTATCATCTCATTCATCATCTTAACCATCCTAATCACAACCACACTCTATCTATCAAACCAACCCCAATTTCCAACTAAATTCAAATTCAAATCAAACCAAGAAAAAACCATTCCAACCAAACCTTTATTACCTCCTAAAAAATTAAACCCTTCAGATTATCCTGATGATTTACTTTTATCTTTACCTATCTTGATTTCTACTTCAAATCAACCTTTTAATCCGATCAACGAACACAAACCATTACCTAATCACCTCACACCCTTCAGCACCCAAACCCTATACAACAAACTCAAAAGCGCCCCAACCTCCCAACCACCCCAAAAAATTCCATTCCCATCCCATATCTCTTCTACTACGAACCGTCCTCAAAAAGTCATCAATACGACCATCAAAGCCTTCTCAACCTCAACCCGATCCAAACTACCTCCATCCACGAATGCCAAAGCATCCAAACCGATCCAATACCTAGGTTTCAAATCCTCAAAGTTTATAAAATCTTGGGAATCCAACCAAGACTCAACCGTAAGAAATACAAGAAAAGAATGGGTCAAGAATGCTTTTTTGGTCGTTTGGGAAGGATACAAATCTAAGGCTTGGGCTCATGATGAACTTAAACCGATCTCGGGTTCAGTTTAGTAGAACATCTTTTCTTCTTTTATTGTACATTCATATTGATTTTTTGCCCGTGGGGTTTTTTTGGTGCGGTAGTTTGATGATCCTTTTTCGGGTTGGGGTGCTACTTTGGTTGATTGTCTGTAAGTTTTTGATCCATTTTTCTCCATTGCATACATCCAATCCCATAATCCCAAATCCCGAATCCAAACTCCAAAACACGCATGATGAGAAAACTCCTTACCCAAAAGAAACCTTCATGAAAAAGAAATCTAATCACCTCACCTATTTCGGTCCGTTTGCAGTGACACACTCCTCATCATGGACCTCCCCACCGAGTACGAAGTAAGTCCTCTTTCCCTTTCCCTTTACCTCAATTCTTTCCAAAAAAAAAATTGACATGAGGGATTTCTGGTTGGGTAGTATGCAAGAGATCATGTGGCTTCGATTGATTGGAGTGTTACATTAGATCTTCGAACTTTAAAGTCGACTAAATCTCCGCCTAGATCTTACCCTTCGGTCCCGTTCTTTGAAACCGTTATTCGTTGTAAGTTTTTTTTTGTTGGGTTTGGTTTTGAGGTTTCCTTTGAAGAGGTTTTTTTTGATTATCTTTTGATTTGATTTTTGTTTGATTTTGATTCTCCTTTGATTTGCTTTTGTTTGCTCTTGGTCATTTTTTGGTTATTTTCTGGTTATTTTGACTTGGGACAGATTTAGGAGGATTAATTTCAGCTTACGATTTATCAAATGATCCATTAATGTTAAAAAGAGCCGAAGATTTGGCTGATTGGTTATTACCTTCGTTTGGTACTGATTTGGGATTTCCTTTACCTCATTATCAGATCGGATCGTAAGTTTTTTGATTTTTACTACATTTCAAAATAATCCAAAACATTCCAATCCAATTCAAAAAACAGAAACAGAAACAGAAACGGAAACAAAAACAAAAACAAATCAAAAACAAAATCAAAGAAATCAAAGAAATCAAAAATTAATTCATTTTTTTTAAAAAATATTGGAAATTAATTGATTGTTTTCTTAATAAACACGATTGATTTTGTTCTTTTGAAAAACAAAAATTAATTCACTGTTCTCTCCCAAAACAAACTTATCTCATTGTTTTTCTTAAATCACACAATTAATTCATTGTTTTTTCTAAAAAAAAATCAATTCATTCTGTTTTTTTTTTAATTTTGGATTGATAGGAATCCTAATGGTCAATCAGTTGGTAGAGTATGTTTAGCAGAAATGGGTTCATTACTTTTAGAATTCACAAGATTATCCCAAATCACTCAAAAACCTCACTACTTTTACTATGTTAGTCACTCTTTCTTTTGCATCTCTTTCTCCAAAACCTTTTTTTCGTTTTTTTTGTTATGGTTTCTTAGTTAATTTTATTTGGTTTTTTCTTGGGGGGTGGATTAGGTACAAAGGATTACGGATCATTTAGATTCAAATCAATGGAACTCGGAACACAGGATCGGTAGTTTGTTTCCTACTTGGATTGATCCAAATCATCCTACTTCTTTATATGGTGATTATACTTTTGGTAAGTCTCTTTTTTTCGTTCATCTTATTCTAAAATCAACAACACATCATTAAACCTGTGTTTGTGTTTTGTTTTTTTAGGTGGAATGGCTGATAGTTACTACGAATACCTTGTATGATCTTCTCTCAAACCTTTTTTCCTACTTTCCAAGCTTTTCCTTCCAACCTCTGATTAATGTAATTTTTCTTTGGTCGAAATAGATTAAACAATATCAACTCTTAGGACTTCAATCTACTCAATACTCTAAAATGTATACATCAATCCTAAGCTCAGCTAAATCAAACCTAATCAAAACCTTTGAATTAGAACCTGCCAATCAAACTCAATCGAATCTAAGCCCTAAGACGATCACCATCTTGGGTGATAAGTTAGGAGGAAAAGATGCTAAGTTGGTGAACTCGTTGGATCATTTGACTTGTTTTTCAGGTGCAATGATCGGACTTGGAGCTAGGTTATTGGATAACAAGGAGGATTTAGATTTAGCTGTTTCTGTTTGTCTTTTTCTTGTTTTTCTTTTTCCTGTTTCAAGACAGACATCAAGGGGGTTTGAATTTTGATTTGATTTTTGGTTTTTTTGTGGGGCACGGTGGTGATAGTATACCGATTCGTGTGTTTGGGCTTATGAGTCTACTAAAACTGGTTTAGGACCTGAAAGAATGAGTGTTTTGGATGATGAAAAGAGTTCAAAGTATTGGGAAGCAGTCGAATATGAAGGTCAGTGTTCTTTCCCTTGTAGAGAAAACAACACACACATATATATTTTTCGTGATATGGGAAATTGAATGAAACTTTGATCTTTTTGTCTTGTTGATCTTTTTTTTTCGTAGGTCAAGTTTATCGTAGGTTGAGTAAAGAGAATGGACCACCTGCTTCGGTTCTTCATGATTCTAGATACTTGGGTAGACCTGAAACGATTGAGTATGTTGTGTTTTTCTGATTTTTCAAAGTTCTTGAATCTTTTCTTTTGCAATTTGTGAAGTGTGAATTGATTATTTTTTGGAAATTGGGAATTGTGAATTGGTTAGATCTGTTTTTTATATGTGGAGAATTACAGGGGATAAAGTTTGGCAAGATAGAGGATGGAGAATGTAAGTTGATTTTCCATATTAAAGAGACGAGAAGAAAAACACATACAAAAAGTTCGAAGTGATTGATGTTTTTTGTTTTTTGTTTTTTGTTTTGGTCAAAAATAGGTTCACAAGTTGGGTAGAAGGATGTTTAACTGATTTTGGATTTGCTGATTTGATGGATGTGAATCGATTACCATATCAAAGATCAGATAAACAAGAATCATTTGTTTTAGCTGAAACGTAAGGATTATTTCCAACTAATTCCAAAAACAAAAAACGCCTTTTGGTTTTCTTTTAACCCCCTCCCCCCCCCGGCGAAAAAAATACTTACAAGAATGTTTTGTTTTCTTAGATTGAAATATTATTATTTATTATTTGATGATCCGAATTTGATTAGTTTAGATGAATATGTTTTTAATACAGAAGCACATCCATTTAAATTAAGAAAGGATCGTAAAGCTTTAAGGAATTATCATTTGAAGGAATTTAAAGATCAAGAGATTGGAAATGGAAGTCCCTTACAGCTTTGGGCTGGGTTGAGGTATGATGAATTGGATGAAGGGCAAAAGGAAATGTATAGAAAAGTGATTGGGATTTGATTTGATGAGAGTTTTTTTTTGGATTCGTTATATAGATTTTTTTTTGATTTTTTTTCTTTTTGTACATATATAAGTTTGAGTTTTAGTTTGTTTTGTGGTGTGTGTTTTTTGATTTTACTTTTTCTTTGTGTTTGAATTTTATTCTTTTTATAAAAAAGCATTATGTTTTTTTCTTGAATTTGAAGAATTTGAATTTGTTTTATTTTTTGTTTGAACAAAAAAGAACATTGAAGTTTAGGATTATTCTTTTGATACATCATTTTCTTTTTTTTTGTGATTTTTGTTTGTCTTTGATGAAGACCAGGAGATTTTGACATTTTTTTATATATTTTACAAGTGTTTTAAATACTTTTAGGTCTTCATGATTCATGATGGGTGAACTAAAGAAGTTGAATATTAAGATCATGAAATATGAAAAAGAAAAAGTATAAAGATAATTTATTAAGAAGTGAACTAGTATTTCCATTCACTTCACCGTAAAAGAAAGTATGAAAATATACTTTTTCTGAATGGAATAACAAACCAGAAGAAAACCCACTTGGTTAGATTTTGATTAGAGAATCATTTTTACAAAAGTTTTGTATAAAGGAATGAATTTAAGAACAGGTTGGGCTTGGGCTTGGGCTTGGGTTAGGAAAGTTGAATTTAGTTATGTTTTGGAATCTGGATAGTATGTCATTTCTCACTTAGCTTAGAATATTGGGCTGAAAAAGTAGGGGAAATTATACTCTGCAATATGATTTAGGTTGGAAAATCATATGAATATCAGATGGTACATCTCCCCCATAAAAAGGTTAGCATTATAGTGCTACTTCAAAGGTTAGTGAATGGAAATAGATACAAGGAAATACGAAAACATACTTTTTCTGAATGGAATAACAAACCCAAAGAAAAACTGCTTGGTTAGGTTTTGATTAGAGAATCTTTTTTCACAAAGGTTTTATATAAAGGAATGGATTTAAGAATAGGTTGTGCTTGGGCTTGGGTTAGGAAAGTGGATTTAGTTATGTTTTGGAATCTGGATGGTGTGTCACTTCTTGCTTAGGTTAGAATTTTGGGCTGAAAAATTAGGGGAAATCATACTCCTTGATATAGGTTGGAAAATCATATGGTACATCTCCCCCAAAAATGGCTAGCATTATAGTGCTACTCCAGGGCTGGATTTTGAAAATTTGAGAAATATAAGATTGGTGGTGTGTTGAGAAATGATGGTGGTTTTAGGAGAATGCATGAGAATATTACAGATGGTGAAATATCTTTTGAAATTGTTTTCTTGGTTCCAAGACCTTTCAATAGCAACAAGAATTCATTAAAGCCTGATGAATTCTAGTAAGATGCAATATTGAGCATACCTGAACTTTGTTTTTTTGGAATATTTACCATAGGTAAGTATATTGTTTTTTTCCCATTTATTGAGTTTTTGATCTTTGTTTACTTGGAATGTGTTATGGGGTCCGGGAGAAATGTTACAAAGAATCTGATAGGCAAGTTAATAAGACGGTTTGTAGACTCATCAATGCAAAATGGTGTTGGAACTGATTTAAACATGTCAGTCAGTTTTGAAATGTTTTGAAAGATCTTGATCTTGATAAAAAAAATCAAAAATTCAAAAAAATGAAAGAAATGAAAAATATAAATATTTGAATGATGTTTTTAAAACACATATATCTGCATTTTCAATCAAGTGTATAAACATTTTATGATATGTGTTTCTATCAATCACTTCTTCAAACTAATACAAGTCCAGTCATTTTGTTATATGTTGAACATTGAGAGAAAATGAATAAGTTCAAACGTTGATTTTTAACCAAAGTGGATCTGAACACAGCAAAGACTGTTTTGTTTTCTGAAGTCTAACTTATATTGAATTAGTAGTATGAACATGTTTGTTTGAAAAACTTTACATTTAAACTTTTTTGCAGCTTATGGATATCTTGGAAATAAAAATTGATGGGTAGTAAGTGAGATGAAGTACAAAAATCTCTTCTACATCTTAGCATAACTTTACTTGCAACAACTAGACACACACATTGATATGATATGTGTGTCTGTGAAGCCTTGTGAGTATGTGTTTGGGAATCTTGAAGCTTCTGAAATTCGCTTTTTTCCTTGAAACAAGAGGTTTGATTTTAAACTAGCCATGCCTGGAGTGGGGATGGTTTTGATCTCAGAAAATATAAGAGAGATGGTAGATACCATGATGTCTTCATGTGATATCAAACACTCCAACTTTGAGCTTGCTAGTCAACAGTTTATTAAGAAAAAACAGATTATATATCTGTTTTAGACATCGTTTTTGTGACCTCTCAGCAAACTTAATCTCATAAACTGCTGCAAGTGAATATAAATGCCCCATGATAAAATACCCACCACCAGGGTATGGTCCTGGATACATCCTGTATGTGTTACATACCACCTCTTTGAGAAGGTTGGACGCACATAATTAGACACCAGTTATAGTCCCAGTAAACCCTTGATTTACTCACAACTGACTCCTTTTGGGCGACAGAGCCAGAGATTCATTGGAGCTGTGTGGAGGAAGTGCTCAACAAATCATTGAGATCACTCAATTGTGATTGACCTCATCTTATTGTGACATGGATTTGTGGATTGTTTTCAGAAGGTGGCCTGTTTTGGACTATTTAGATTTTCATATATCTTGCCAAATTGCAGCACGGTGTGCAAAGATTTTGTGATTTTGTGCAATTGAGGGAATACAGACTTACTCCTATGTTGTATTGGAAATTATAGATAATCAAGTCTGGTTAATTTGCATACCACAGTGGTGATGCTCTTAAGTCATTGAACCCTTTTGATACATATGTAAATATGTAAATTAGCTATGTAGGTGATGTACATTGTGCTGTGTGGGGGGGGGGCTGGGCCACAGGTTTCCTAATTGGGTAGGCAATCTGCTTGGTTGGGTGCGGGGGCAGGTGGAAGGAAAAAGAAAATCCTATGAAAAAGAAGTATTAATCATGATTCTATGTGACCTGATACTAAAACTTGAAAACGTGAGGATGGGATGAAAATAATTTGGAGAGGATGAGGATATAAAGTTTCTGCTTTCCAAATCATTTGGGGGAATGTTGTGGTACATAGGGTCCGGTACTATACCTTGAGTCCCGGGTCGACCTATTTGTGCTCACGGTTCATCCCATCTTTTCATGGAATTAAACAGGTGCACCTCTGGACACTCGTCACATTCCTTTAAACTTCTGGTCATCTCCTTTCAAGATTCTGATGAGTTACTCTGATCGTACGATATTGACTTGCTATGATAACATTATTTGGATCAGGTTTGACTTGCAATCAAAGATCAAATATGCTGGACAGATTGACCTAACATACATAATGTTTCTTGGCTCTGATGAATGCGAAAGGTCCAGATCCCAAACGTTCAAAGTACACAGGTATGAAAATTCACGTTCTGGCAACTGGTTGGATGCGTGTTGGAATATAGAAGGTGGTGTCAAACTAGGAAAAGTTGAAGTTTTCAAAATAAAAATTTTGAACCGTGTAATTAAATACATGTGATACAGTTTCAACTGTGTATTTACAGTTTCAACTTTGTATGTATTTGGAGGGTGGCCTCCCTCGGGCTTCACCATTTGTGAAGAAACAAAAAAGGGCTGATGCCCCCATCCTTAATAAATCAACACCTACACCGGGAAATGCGCCAGCAACCACCTCTCCTCAATGTGATATGCCTCGAATCACTCGTCGCCAAACCGTTGTATGAGAAATTCGCACCGCCCTGGATGCTCTTGACGATAATGATCCAACGATTACATTCCCCCTCCGGTCCAGCCTATCAACATTTTCTCATGCGATGGCGGGGTCTTCGATTGCACAACTGGCTGTCTGCTTACATATCAAATCATCTCGTGTTCTCACAGTCTCCTGCATCATAATGACTGTTTTCAGCTTAGCAATGCAATGGCTAGAAAACACATTTAATGATTCAGACAACCAGCTCGTATTTCTTTTTCAACTCTGGCATCAAGAAGAAGTTGAAGACTTACTCGGTCAGCTACACGCCGCTCAAACCCAACGCTATCTAGTACCACGAGGGCCACCTGCACGAGGACCACCCGATGGACGCTTTGCCCTCCTCTTCAATGAGCGAAGCTCCGTGTTTAGGCACCTGGTTAGTATTTCTTCGGTATCTCAAACTCGGGTCTTGATGATTGATGTGATCAAAGTCATATGTTGATTTCTTAGGCAAGGATGCAAAAGGAAACTTTTGTGAAGTTACTTCACATGATTGGCGGGCATCACATCTTTCAGAACAGATCTCCCAGCTCGCCACAGGCCCCACCTGAGTGGCAACTCTTGGTCGCTCTGGCGTATCTCGGGTTGACTGGAAATGGTGCTAGTCCTAGGATGCTTGCCCTGGGTTTTGGTATATCAGGTAAGTAAATTTTACTTTCCATTCCCTTTGTCCAACGGCAATTGCTAACCTCACTTCTCAATTCTCGTAGAAGGTAGTATTTATAGTTATACAACTCGATGTGTTATAGCAATCCTTTCGTTGAAGGATCGCTTTTATCGATGGCCCGACCAGACAGAACACAGCAAAATCAAAAAGGCGTTTGGGCGGCATAGTTTTTTTAAAGGATGTGTTGGTGTCATAGATGGGACACTGGTTACTCTTGCTACAGGTCCTGAGAAAAACATTGAGGATTACCGAACTCGAAAATCAACGTATGCATTGAATTCAATGCTTGTTTGTGATCATCGCAAACGGATCATCTACGCGACTCATGGGTGGTGCGGAAGTGCCCATGACTCACGAGTTTTTCGTAATTCAAAGGCAAGTGTATTCAACTCAATCATGTACACCATTAAGGCTGATGAATCTCTTTCTGAACAGCTCTCAAGGAGCCCTCAACATTTCTTCGGCGAAGGTGAATATCTGCTGGGCGATTCAGGTTACCCTTCAAGGAAAAATTTAGTTTCAAATTTCAAAAAGCCTTGACATATACCCCTTCCAGCAG